TTCATGCTCTTTGAACAACCACCCCAACGGATCTGTACCATCGGTTTTAGGCATCTCAAGCTTCAATCTGGACGTAAAAGGGAGCGGCTCTGGCCCGCCGCCTCCACCCATGCGCGCCGGTGTACCACCAGGGCCTGGGGTTTTTTCGAGACGGGTGAACAGCGCCTCGCACCTCTGCTGGAGCTGCTCTTTGGTGTAATTTAGGGTTTGCATGGTTGTTGTATGTGCCAACAGTTGGCGATCAATCTGCTGCTGGGGGGGTTACGGCGGGTTGTTGTATGTGCAACGCATAATAGCCACACATTTTGTGGGGGGCTTACGGCGGGATTGGGGTGGGGGTGCAAGGGCGGTGGTAGGGTGGGGGGTTTAGGGGTGGATTAGGGGGGGTAGGAACCGTCAATTTTGCGAACGGAGCACCGGAGGTGCCCCAAAATGCCGGTGGCACCGGAGTGACACCGGATTCCAGTGGCACTGGAACCGGGCCGCTTTTTAATTCATAAATAAAGTTGACACTCATTATCCATCCATGTTTGTTTTTGAACAAGTACTCCTTCTGTCGCTAAAAATATAAGAGATTTTGATTTTTAAGAAATGTATAGAGAATGTAATTTGATGTTGAGTTTCCAAAATGTTTTTTAATGTGATAAGTAAAAGTAGGATTTGATGGGTAGATTAATAATAAATAGATGTGATGTGATAGATAGGTTGGGAATTTGTAGAGATAAAAGTGACTTTTTAATAAAAATGAGAAAATGTTTTTGAGACGGATGAAAAAAAGGAATGATAAAAGTTTTCACGAACGGATTATTGTACATTTGTACTCGTATTAAACAAGTGAAATTTGCACTAAATGGGACTAAAACATAAGTCATTTTCCAATGTAAGATTTAAAACTTTTTTATTCGCTAAATAGGAATTAATAATGTCTAGTGGGAGGAATAATGTCCTATTTACATGAATTTCTCAAGAATGCCAACAAATGAGGTTCTAGGATCTTCACTGGAGAAATCGTAGTAGATCGCACACATAGGACGACAGGACAGAATGTAAACCGTGCTTTCAGGATCGAATTCTAGAGGCCGAGGAGTTGCGATGCCAAACAAGCGTAACCTCGGCCACACACACACGACGCGCTACCAGAACCATGTCTGTCTGTATCATCGGCCAAACGTATGTTTTGGAGATCTGAATCGAGAAGAGGAAGAGTTCGCAGTGCCGAACAGGGACGAGGATAGCCACTCACAACATCTACGGCTCCGATCCAAAAGCATGCATGCCGTTTGATTTCTTCAAGCATGTGCATCCACTTGGTATGGTAATCCATATTTTGTTTTTTTTCTCCTTTTTTTGAAGTTTTTTTTATCATGAATAGAGCTAGCAACTGATTAGGCATGTGCTAATACAAAATTGGTATCTGTCAAATCTTGTTGTAGTACTATATATACTGCGTCTTAGGTAAGTTGTTTCCCATTCACTAAATCTAGCACTGCTTTGTTTCCAGTGTGCCACATATGTTTTTGATAGGTTAAAATTTGAATTGAACTTGTGATGACTACAACCGATTGAAAAATCTTAGATTTAGATGTGCTCTTTGCACACTTTGGATCACTATGCTTTGTAGTTATTGATTTTTAGTTACCTGTCTTCTAGTCTGACCTTGTTCAATTAAAAGAGATAAATTTTGATCTTTCAATTAAATAAAAATTTCATGGATTATATTATTGTAAACAAAAATTTAATTATATTTGTTTTTTAGGGGTAAGGTTTGTGTACCTACACAAACCTTCCCTCCTCAAACCCTACTTATGTGGGTTCTACTGGTTGTTGTATTATTATAAAAATGATTTATTTAAACTTATTCTGTACTGTAAAATATTTTATGGTACGAATAAATAGTTTAAAATAGAGTGCTTATTCAATAGGTGATCAGAGTTTGAAACTTTGAATTACAAACACATGGGATGGAGGGAATATTTAATAATCCATTACACTTGAGGAACCAAGGGGTTACAATCAATAATATCCTAGAGTTAACATCCTACTGTATCTTGATAACAATCATTTCTTTTCTAAATTCTTATACTACACGTAATCTCCTATCATGTATCTCCTCAATTTATTCAGTACTACTCGTGGGCAAATTAATGCGATCATAAATGAACTTCAGTGAGTAGTGTTACGTCGAGCATCTAAATCACTTAAAGTTACTTCCTCATGTTCAAATGGTAGTCAACCGGCTAGCTATATGTTTGGATTTTAAATAATGAACATTATAAGCTGTCATATATGTTGCACTAACATTATCACAACAAATGTGCATAAGTTGCACTATAATACTACCTTTTAACTCGTGGATCCTCTTTTTTGAAAGTACTGGTCATTGGGGGAATAGCGGGGTCTATGCAGAGATAATTAATACCATTTTCTTCTTTTACGCACTTTTGGGTTAGAAGAAAAAATAAGGTCCAAAAAGGGACTTATTGATATTATTGAATTGTGCCTTTTCCTCATTTAGGTTGCTAGATTTGGAAGAAGTATATAGCTTCATTGGAAGTATGTTGGATCTATACAACGTTATTACGTTAAGAGGAAAAGCTCCAGAATATGGACCTTGTGATGAATCTTAAAATGGTTAGTGTTATGCAGGTGCTTATTACTCACTGCACGTTTAAAAAAAGTGCTTAAGTGCTTTTTGAAACACCTTTTTCAGCATTATAAACAAAAGTTTTTTTAATACAAAAAAGGCGGTTATGTTTGTTTACTATTACCACTTGTTATGGCACTTTTGAGTTTTGATAGAAAAGATGCAAGATATAACCTAGAGAGTTATTCTTGGGTACTTTTTGTTGTTGCTTTTGTCATGACACTTTCTTAAATCTTGATATTTTTTCACCTTTAGAAACTTGTGATAAATTTGATTTTTGAGAGATTTTGGATAAATACAGAATTCAAGTGAATCATGTTTGCTTGTTTTTAGGGATATGGAGCCATCAGCCATGCAGGTTTTGTTATTGAAGAGAAAATCAAAGTATCAACCTGTTTAACCCTGACTTAGACCCATATTGTAAGCCTACCACTTTCTTAAATATCCTATATGATGTCATAATATATTAGTATTTTCTTTTATTTTATGCTCTTGTTTAAGGTCTCCTTGATTTTCCCTAATTACAGAATGGGGATGCTACTTTTTTCTCTCGAGCCCCTTCACCAAGTGATCTAGATATTTGAAATTTGATAGCTTTATTGGGCTAGTTAACGTAAATGGGCCACTGTTGTTTTGTAAATGAGTCATAGATATTTATCCTGTAAAGCCAACCAAAAAAGAAAAAGAAGATTTCTAAACACAAGAAATGAAAGCTTTTTTTCTGTTTCTCTTATGCTTTGGTTTTTGGAAAATGGTTCTTGATTCAATGTTGAGAGTGTTGGTAGCTATTGTTGGCTGTGTTGAGGTTAGCTATTCGATTTGTTCGGGCCTTCAAGGTTGAGGCGGTATGAATATTTTAGTTAGGTTGATGGCTCTCGTGCTGCGGTGGTTTTTGGTTGTTTTTTAGCCATGCAGGATTCAGCGTTTTTTTAGGTAGTGGGTGTAACAATTACTGATTAAAAAGAACTTGAATATATGAAGGTATTTAGAGTTCTGATGAACCATGGTGGCCAAGAATGGCTATGAAACTTAACAATGGCCATCCTAAAATGCGAATTAAGAGTAATTAGTGTTAATCACGAAATTAAGCATGGCTAGAAATGGATAACATGGCTAGGAGTTGATTATCACATGAAATAATTGTTTTTAGAGTATAAAAGTATTCTTGATTTTTGAAATTGATTTTGAGTTTAAAAATGAATCTTTTGAACACCAAACTTCTTCTAAACATCAAGGATAACATGTCTAGAACTAGAAAACTCCATGAATTCGGTTACCACAAGAAATATTGACAAACGGGAAAATGGGATTATTGCATGCTCGTGATCAATAATTTCTAAAGGTGATCCAAAATGGATTGAATAAATAAATTTTAAATTGTTTGGTGACATGCATTGAATATAATCTGATCCAAAAAGTATAATATAGTTTGAATGGGCTGTCTAAAAGTTTGATATACCAGGGAGTATACTATTTGTGGACTTAGAACCTTGCTAAAGCGTTTGAAGCTTAGCAAAATTCTCACGAACATACTCAACGGGTAAGAACTTCTTTTTCGAGAGGGACCTCATCTTAGTCCAAGTAGACACCGGTTCTTTGCCGTTCCTTCTTCTTTTGGTGCAAGTATTGGTCCACCAAGTGGATGCATACTTGCGGAACTTCAACGCCACTATCTTGACCTTCTTCTCGTCAGAAACTTCTTTGAAGTCGAAGACACGTTCTACTGTCTCTAGTCATTCTAGAAACTCGTCCGGGTCGTTCTTTCCTTCAAAGGTCGGGATGTCCACCTTGAAATCAGAACCTTCATGGGCGGGAGTCCTAGCTTTGGTGGTGCTACTAGTGCTAGCATCATCCTCACGATCACTTCCTTGGAATGTGTTCAGCTTCATCTTGGTAAGTTTAACTACCTCTTTGGCCAAGTATTCAACTTGGGCCTTCAAGGCTGCATTGGATGCAATGAGCTCTTCATGGGACATGGGTTGGGATTCATTCGACATGGTTGTGAAGGTAAAAAGATGGGAGGAAAGGCTTAGTTGGCCGTGGGGCTTGAAAAGGAGAAGAGGAGAGTTTTGAGCTCAAGAGACACTTACTGCTCAAGAGGGGCGTGTGAATGGTCCTTGGGGATATTCAACACTTAGCTCTGATACCAAATGTTAGGCACCAACTTAGGATGAAACTGGGGGAGAGGATAGGCCGAATGGGAAAGAGGAACAAGGGGGTGTTTATGGTGGTTTTGTGAATGTAATGAGATGAAGGAATGGGTGTTTTAAAAGGGGGAGGTAAAGAGGGACAAGTGAGGGCAATAAGGAAGGGTGTTTGGGCTTTAGTTTTGGCTAAGGAAGAAGAAAAAGGAGGCTGTTTTAGAGGGGGAGAGGATAGCCCGAAATGGAGGAGGAAGTGGGGGTGGAGTTCTTTAGTTGTTTTCTTTAAGGAAGATAAACCAAGTTGGTGTCAAGGGATATTACACACCCTTATCTTCACTTGGGATTGAATCTAGTATTCAAACAAAATATTACACACTCATTCAAATAATTAGAACCTAAAACTCACACTTAGGAGAACCACTCTTAAGATATTGAAATAGGAATTTAAAAGAACACACACAAGTGTATTACTTATTGAAATGGAGAATACAATGTGCTGAAATGTAAGGGCCTATGGCCGTATTTTAACACACCAAGGGGAGAGGGAAACTTCTTAGCTACATTCACTCAACTTAGGAGAATAATGTCCACTTATTTAGTAGAATGAAATCAAAGGTGAAGGGGGAGGTTGTGGGGGATGGTGTTTCGGCCTATTAGGGAGGAAAGGGGTGGTGGTTTTGGGCCAATGTATACAGCCATAAAGAGGAATAAAAAAGGGTGTATGATAGGTGGTCTTTTGGTTTGATATGATGAATGGTATATGGGTGTATCTTGGGGGAATGGTTCGGCCATAGTGTGGGGGATAAGAGGGTGCATGAGACTTGGTTATTTGGCTGGACATCGAAGCTCTTTTGTGGTGGTTTTGGGTGGGCTCTGCATAGCCAAGGTGGGGAGCAAGGAAGGTGGGATTATGGAAGGTTTATTGGCCTCATATGAGATGGTTTTTCTTGGTGAATAATGGATCAAGACATGCTGAATTATCCTTGGCTTGTTATGGTTGTTTATTTAGCTTTGTTGGGGAACATATGGGGGACCACTGCTGGTACATGTTGGGGTATAATGGGTTGAGTTTTGGCTCTTAGTTTTCGGCTACTCAAGGGAAAAGAAAGGGGTTGGGGTTGGATGTTTGTGTTTGGGTTTTTAGCATGTGATTTTCAAGTATGATGGGGTGTTGTGGGTTGTGTGGGTTCGGCCAAGGCAAGATGGAAAGGGGAAGGACTTTTGGGTTTGATTTGGATATTTTGGGGGGTTGGTTTGGGGTGGTGTATTTCGACCATCAAGGTGGGGGAGGGTCCAAAAAGGATTAAGGTTGGGTTGTATGGTTTAGGGGTGATGTATTCATTCCATAAAGGATTAAATCACTTGGACATTATTCCACAGATTTGTTTAAAGACTTGTGTGTATATATATATATATATATATATATATATATATATATATATGGATCGACTCCAGTGAGATGACACCTTACGATGAGATGACATGCTTCGGTCAAATAACACAAAGCTCATCACTGGCCACTGCATAGCTCACCAAAGACAACTACAAAGCTCACCAAATTGTAAGGCAAAACTCACCATATTTTTTCAACACTTTGAATATTTTTCCGAAAAATAAAATCAAAGGAAGGGGTGCTGACTGGACTTTGACTGTTGACCGCCAGCATTGACTGCCGCCGGTCGCTGTCGCCGGATTCCGGTCGCCGCTGCTACTCCGCCGTCGTTGATCGGTGGTTTACTGGTGTTGTTATTTTATTTTTAATTAATTTTTTAATTTTTAAAATTTTTAAAAAAAGGTGAGTTTTGAGGTTCAAAGTGGTGAGCTTTGCTATATTTCCAGGTGTGCTTTCCATTGTCCATTGGTGAGCTTTGTAGTGTAGTGTGGTGAGCTTTGCATCATCTGACCAAAGCATGTCATCTCACCGTAAGGTGTCATCTCACTGGAGTCAATCCCATATCTATATATATAAAGTTGACAAAATAAATTATTATATTTTATGTATTGATGGCCAAAAATATGGGAATGGGAGAAAAGGAAGAATTTGATTCTACTTTTAACTCTTTAATTAGTTACCTAAACTAACTAAGTAACTATTTAATGAGTTTCCTTTTCACCACACTTCTTGATATATGGATAGCTCTCGTATCGTTTTTGTGTGTGTTTTGAAAAACACAGGCAAAATATATTTATATTTTCTTCATCATTCCCAATAATATTTTTATATTTTAGTAATATTCTAGGAAGATATTACTAGCATATTCTCTTCTTAGAAAACCATTCTTTGTTCGTGTGGACGCGCTAGGGGTTCGATCTTTTCTGACTGGTTCGTTGCACCAATTCCTTCACATGCACTGTGTTAGAATAAGTGCCCTTCACTAGAGGGGGGGGGGTGAATAGTGAGGCACGAGAATGTTTATAAATTTTTGCGGAATAAAAATCGTAGGGATAAAGTAAAGAACGTAAAAAGTAAATAGCGTAAAAAAGCGTAAAGAGAGCACACCAAGATTTATACTGGTTCACCAGAATGTGTGGCTAGTCCAGTCTCCCGAGAGACTCTCTCGAGCTACACTACTTCCGTTAAGCTTACGGGTGCTTAACAAACCGTTACAACCTGAGAACTCGAGTCCCACGAGCCTCAATACACATGCTCGGAGATACCACACTCCAAGACTTCAACTCGAAGGAATATGCCCTTCCTTCGTACAACCAAGGGAACAAACCTCCCTTAAAGTGTTCACAACACTTAACCACTCAAGAAAAAAAACTCTCTTAAAGAGTAGAATATGAGTAAACTAATTTAGATCAAGAACACACTCAATTCCTCAAGAAATGGCTCTAAAAAGCTATGTAAAAAGTTTATGAAATGATGCAATGTAAAGCTATGAAATGTGTGTGGAATGGTTGTGAAAAGTAGACCCAAGAGACCCCTTTTTATACCCAAAAACAAGGTGCAACGGTTGGGAAAAGATTGGGGTTGATTGGCTTGATTTGTGGAAATCAAATAAAAGTGGATCTACTGAAATCTAGCCCGACAGCGCTGTTCATATAGTGAACATCGCTGTTTTGGCTTTGAGTTTCCTTTAAAAGTGGCTAACGTTCATCAAAACATCGATGTCTAGAAGTCTACATCGATGTTGGGGTGTTTGACTTTCAAAAAAGGAAAGATTTTGTCTTAAATAGTCCAACGGTCATTTGAAAACATCGCTGTTCAACAATGAACATCGCTGTTCAAAAACTTACTGCCCAGGGCTTCTGAATGCCAACATCGCTGTTGGGATTTCCGACATGCATGTCGGGATGGTTTGCCAGAACCATGGTTTGGCAGCCAACGCCGAAAACCGATGTCAAAAACCAAAGTTCTCCAAAATGAAAACCAAGTGTTGGAAACTCTTATATAATGTATTTTAGGTAGAAACCAAGTATAAAAACTTAAAAACCACTTCATTAAGGTAAAAACCACGGCTAGCCAAGTTTATGCCGTTTCACATGGTTTTCACCAAAAGACCAAAAAC